TGCTTGCACTTTGAATTTTATCTTAAAATCCATGGGAAGCCATTGAAAAAAGTATTCATTCACTTGGAAAGAGGTGTGGAACTATGATGCTTACTCTTTCTTCTGCACTCCACCCTCCCATGTATTATATGGAGACAATCTAATCAGTAGTAGTGGCTCATTGTGATAGTCCATTCAAACGTTGGGGTCCTTGCCCTCTGTCCCCAGGACCACATTAGAACTTGTGGAAGAAGCTAAATATAGTTTGAAAAAGTCACACAGTTGGTTTTGATATAGTTTCCTCAGCCCTTCCCCTGACACTCACTTGTTAAGTAAGAAGAAAAAAAGCAAAGACAATTGTCTCCTGGAACAACTAGACATTTAAAAATAGGCAGAGAAAGTGCATCTGTGAAAGAGAGCCGAAGTACAGGAGGAAAAGCAGAGTGTACTAAAAGCAAATGAAAGGGGAAAAATTTAAGGAGCACATAACAGAATTAATCACAAAGAAGTGATTAAATGAGGGCTGTTGGCCTTGACAAATATGAGGTCATTGTGACGAATACAAGAATATGTATTTCAGTAGGATGGTGGGGATGGAAGCCATTCAGGTATGAGAAGTGGATGAGTGTTAAGAAAGAAAGGAAAACAACACAATCATAACTAGATGTACCTCTTCTCAATGTTTTATATATATTAACACAATTTGTACCATTTAAGAGATGATTGAACAATTCTTGCTGAATGAATGAGAGCATGGATGAATGACTACCTTCTTGAATAACTTCAGATTCCATTAGATGTTACCTTCTCTGAACCATCAGAGTCATTGAGGTTATTATTGTATTTGAACAAATGGTAGTTTGGTTTTAGCTTCAATGGAGGACAGAAAGCACCCTTTCCATTTAAGTGAAATAGTTTCTACAGGTGCCTGTTGATTGAGGATGTTATAAATACTCTGGTGATCATAAAAAATTTTAATTGTAAAGCACTATACAAATACTACTTGTATTGAAGTATTATGACTGCAGTGATAAATAAGACATGTCAAAAGGAGATTTCTCCTCTTTTAGATATATTTTCAGATATTAATTCACCTTTTGGCCTAATGATTTTTTATAGTCTTTAAGCTGGAAGAGCTTCTTCCCTCCATTTAGACAATAACTCCATCTATAGCTGACAGCAACTGAGAGAGGCAGTTGGAAGAGATGGAGTGAAGCACCAGGCTCGCTTCAACTGTTCAAAATCATATCCTCCGGCTTGCTGCTTTTAATTTTTATAGTATGTAAATCCTATGCACTTTTAAAGGAACTCTTCAGGACTCTTAAATAAGAAGTAAGAGAGATAGAAGATGTGTAGGATGTTGTCAGGGAGTTTTTCACAATTAGAACGCTGGGATGTGTTGCAATCTGGAGAATGAGGAGGCAAATTTTGGTCCAGTCCCAGAAAACTTTTTCTAATAACGACGGAAAGGTTTGTTCCAAAAGGAACGGAGTGCTGCTGCTCCGGGATGGTGCTGCGTTGTGGTTTGTTAGGAGGCTTCCTGAAGATGATGTCAGATGGAAACAATTGGCCTTTCAACTCTCCTCTAACGGCCTGTGAAATAAAACTAAATGATTTTCAAGAGAAAGAAACCTCTTAGACCTCTTCCCCATGTTCGACCACAAACATTTATTGAGCCCCTACTATGTGCAGTGCAGTCTGTGTTTCTCAGTAGGGTTGCTGTTTGGTGGGACAATCCTTCATCAGACCCCTCCCCCACAAGCCACACAAACACATTGTCACAACTAAAAATGCCTCAACATGTTTTCAAACACTCGTTTCAGGGCATTTATTGTTGAAAACCAGTGATAGGTGTTGGAGCCATAAATCTGAGCAAGACAGAATTTATGTTTTTGTGTTTCCTTTACAGACTTGAAATCATTTTTTTGAGCATGTATGGGGTCTTATGCCCTCTAGCCCTCCCATTAGTACATGACTTGCATTTGTGTTTCAGGCTATCTAAATGATGATATCTTATTACTTGTGGTGGTGGTGGGGAGAAAGAGCTAATCTCGTTGGGGGCTCAGCAATGGGCAATAAAACAGAACAGTATTTCCTCAGTGCAGGCAGCATATGTAGGACACCAGATTCAGAAGGGAAGGCCTGACCAATAGGGTGACATGATACATGGCCAACCATAGACAATGGAACACTTAAAGAACTAAAAGCCTTCCAAACACCTTTATCAAAGCTGAAGACATATCACAGAGACCCACGTGTTGTATACAGAACACCCAGATGCTGTATTTTGGTTTTGGAGTCAGATCATGCTCCATTTCAGGAATCTCACAGAAATATACTTCAATTGATCATTATGCTGAGATTTTGGATTGGCTGAGAAATATTCCTGCTCTAAGAATCCTGCCTAGTTCACTCTGTTTGAATTCCTCTCTCTTCCAGTATTTCAGATGGTGTTGGATTGGCCCTGGGGAACATTGAACTGCACTTGGCCTCTGGTCCCAGCACCCCAAGAGTAATCTAAATTCCAAGAGAAGTTAGAGCTGTTCTCTGCCAGTACTTAAAGCAAAATGTCTGCTGGTTTTCTTGAAAATCTCCAAGAAAGTGCAACTTGTACCAAATTAAACCCAGAGGGTTCTGCAATCATGTTCTGGCCTTGGAATTCCAGAGAATAGAACATTTTGCAGTTCATATTGGAGGTCATGGGAAATATTGGAAGCCAGTATTGTAGTCCTCCAAGCTGCTTGCCCCCCAAACCTCTGCATCACTGATTTATAAAGTGTCACTTAAGTGGGAAAAGAACAGTATTAAGAAGAACTAAGTCATATGTGTTTAAGAGGGCTGAAAGAATTCTATGTAAAAAATAATTCCAGAAACAACCTTATTAGCCATGGAAATAGCCAACTTCAGATTTATTTTATCACCATGTCAAATCTGAAAAATATCACTAAAAGGTTAAGTGTTCACTTGCTTTTTGCTCGAGAATGAATTCATTGCCTATTATTTCTTATTCTCTTCTACATCTCCAGCATGGAATTATCAAGTTCTCCTAATTTTATTTCTTACTACAGTCTTTGTCATACAAATGACATATCTTAAAATTAAAACTCCTAATAAAATCTTTTTCTTCTCCTTACATATTCTTAGGCTATCATATGTGGAAACTGAGGCTAAGTTATTCCATTGACAAAAAGTATGAAGTGAAACACATGCACAATTAATCAGCTCTTAAGATAACCTAAAGCTTGTCACAGAGGAAGGAAATGCCTAGATATCATGCTCTCAAATAGCTGTATAAGAAAGAAAATGCACCTGGCAGGTGTGGCTCAGTGGTTGAGCATTGACCTATGAACCAGGTTTGATTCCTGGTCAGGACACATGCCCGGGTTGCGGGCTTGATCCCCAGTGGGGTGTACAGGAGGCAGCCAATCAATGATTCTTTCTCATCATTGATATTTCTATCTCTCTCCCTCTCCCTTCCTCTCTGAAATCAATGAAAATATATTTTTAAAAAACCCAGAAAGTCTATGCATTTGGTCTATTTCTCTTGGCAATTTAGACAATCATTAGTTTGTTTTAGCCTAAAGACCAAAGAGAACAGAGATGACACATATTTAGTGGATGTCTCTGAAGAACTCATTGGCATGTCCAACACAATCTGCCTGAGACTTTTTGAGTTAGCTATGAAATTGTCAGGCTCTGGTCTAGATATTTTGTTTTGTTGCATTATGAATTATTTTCCTTCTGTGTTAAGCACAAGAGAACCTTGAATGTCTAATGTCTAACAAATGATTTTACATTTGTAAATCTATCTTGCAATCATAGGGTAACAAATAATCCCGCAACAGCAGTGGCTCATAGTCATTTTATTTCTTACATTACATGTTTGCTTCATGGTAATTACAATTCAGTTTTGCATATCTTCATGATAGGATCCTCATCGGTTCTTAAAACTTCTGCTCAGAAGTAGCACACAAAACTGTTTACATTTCATTAGTCTAAGCAAGTCACATGGACAAGTCTGATGTTAGAAGGTATGAGGATATGATCCTTTTACAGAAACAGCAAATAGCTGGGAATAATAAAACAGTTGAAGTGTTTATGTTTTGGGATATAATTTGAAAGTGTAAGGAAGGAAAAAACTGTTTTAGAATTTTAATTGGAAATAACTCGGGTTCACTATTTAGTATAGCAATGACATGTTTTTCTTCTTGTTTTTCTGAATAGGTCTCTTTTTACATAGTTGCAAAAATGAACATCATATTTCCTCCAATGATAAAAATAATATATTGTCATAAAAAATTCAAAACATATAGGAAGGTATAAATAAAAAAGTAAAATTCCTTTGAAAAAGCCTAGGTAAAAATCAGCAGATAGTCTATCTTAGTAAATGTTTCACGTGAGCTGGAGAAGAATATTTATTTCTCTGTTGTTGGACATAGTAGTCTATACATGTCAGTTATATTCACTTGACTGGGGCTGTTGTTTATATCTATATCCTTAATAATTTTCTGCTTGCTGGATATTTTAGTTATTGATGGAGAAATGTTGAAGTCTCCAACTATAATGGTAGATTTGTCTATTTCTCCTCATAGTTATGTCAGTTTTTACTTACATATTTTAAGCACCAACATGTTTAAAACTGTCATGTGACCTTCTGGTTTATGAGTTGACGCTCAACCACTGAGCAACACAGGCTGGGCAGCTTTCTTTTTTTAATGTGAGGTTAACACAATATTCTGTACCCCTGGGAATGTAGATGTGCACCTTTGATACATCGCTAGTGTTTGAACAATTGATGTGAATGCCTTTAGCCTGGCAAGCTCCCTGGTTTACCATAATCTCCACTGCTCCATCCTGCCTGCTTGATCTGCCTGCCTGCATAGCAGCTGGAGTTTATAAATTCTCTTCTAGACCGTCCTAGACCACATACAGTTTCAAATATCCAAGTGTTTAAAATGTGATGCTGTATTTTTACATTGACTGGTCCTCTGCCTTATACCTTGTTTTTTCCTTGGACTTAGGCTTTGGAAGATCAGGTATGGGAGCTCCTGCAGGAAGCGGACAAGACAGCTGAAGAGAATAAGGATCAGAGTCAGGTGTACGATGCCATGGCCAGCACCCTGGGTGAAGCATGGGCAGCCCTGGTCTCCATGCTTGAAAGAAGAAGGGAGCTCCTCAGGTTGACCTCTGAATTTTTTGAAAGTGCCTTGGAGGTTTGTATTCTTTTTTTTTAAAGTCTCCCTTCTCTATAACAGAGCAAATGAATAGCACTCCTGAAAATATTTTATTTCTGCAAATAGACATTGCAAAAAACAGCAGAATAACCAAGATATTATATATATATATATGTATATATGTGTATATATATGTACATATATATATATCATCTAATTTTTTGTTTGTCAGAAGATAAATATTTTAAATGTAGGCCTTCAAACATTTAAAAACTAAGTATAGTCCATTAAAATTAAGTAAAATATTAAGTGAAAATGGGAACTCTTACTTATAAGTCATTATGATATATTTCCTTGTGTAGAAAACACTAATATAGTTACTAAATCAAACGATTTCCCCTGATTATAGGAAATGGTGGTGGAAAGTGTTCTTATTGACTAAAATTTGTTGATTAAAACTTCTGCTTATGCAAAGGGAATTGCAAAATATTCCACAGAATGTCTGACTTGTAAGCATAGCATTTCATAAAGTACTTTTAAAGGCATATCTTTGAGTTCCTATAGCTTGAACTCATTAAAACGTAAGGGAAGGGAAAAGTCCTGGACCTAAGAAGGTCATTTCCCCCTATGATTTTTTTCTTAAATTCTGCAATTTTTTTTGAGGTTCCCAATTTCAAAATGTGAGGCTCAAAGAACAACATCAAAAGACATGTTATGTTTGGTATGAGACAGTTATTGGAAATTTCACTTTTAACTTCTCTGTCAAGTGGCAGTACATTCATTTTGATGTGAGAGCTCTGCTTCATTATGATAAAGCATGAGCTTTGAAAAATATGACATTTCTAAACTGGAAATTCAGGGCTTAAATTCAAAATAATGAAGGAAAGGAGATTAGTAATAGAACATGAAAATTGGGGTAGACAATCTCATGCATCACAAACTCGGTTAAAAGTTAGAAGGAGGAACAGAAACCTCTAACTCTCAAAGTTTGTTTTCCACAATTTGCACTCGGAAGCCCAACTCACAATTCATTTTACCGATCATCTTGGGAAAAAGTCCTATGCACCGTTTTCCTTTCTGAAAAGAAATAACCAGGTGAAATATACCCACAGAGGTCAAATTATAGACACATTTGATTTATTCCATCTAAGTAAGTGGGTATCGGTGTCAACTGCCCTTTACAGTCAGCTCATTTAGCACAAGAAGTTATCTTTTTTAAACACGAGGCGGAATATTTGTTTCTCACTGTGTAGTAGCATTTGTGCTTCCTGATTTTCTCCATGATGAGAAATGACTCTTATGTACTCATAAAATAAAAAGAAGTAATAAGTTAACCTGTAATTCAACCACACACTCTGATTCCTAGTGAAATGGGTAATTGTTTTTTGTATTTTTCGCTTCCAATTTTGTGGACACCTTCATACTTAGCTTAAGGCAAACTCCTACATGATCTTCCCTGCTCCTTGTGAATGCCAAGGCAATTTTCATTAGTGATTAAAAAAAGAGAGAGTGACATTAAGAATAGGGTTTTCAAAAAAATTTCCCCCATCACCATTTCTATCCTGTACAAGCCACAGAAAGGAGAAAAGTGAAGAAAATAAAATATACATAAGATAACACTTAACAGTACATTAGGGAAGTTTTTTCTGAGTAAAATTGTTTATTTTTAAAATTTAATGTAACAAGCTCTGAAATATAGTCACTCCAAAACTTTTTGTAATGTTCTACAGGGAATAAAAACAAATCACCTATAGGGTTTTTATTTTTCTTTGAAGTTGCTGCCCAAAGAATGCCTTTACAATCAGTTATTAGAAATGGAATGCATTAGAGATGTAAATGATGTGTGGGTGGGTTCCCTCATTGAACTATGTGCATTCAAGAGTTCTTTAGAACTACACATGATTTCTTATTGCACGGTTGATAATCATAAAGGACAGTTTCTGGCTCCTAGCCTTAACCACCAGAAAGGTTTTTCTCTTCTCAAACATAGTGCTTCAATTTAGAGACATTGTCCCTCAGTGACAATGGCAGGTGTCCGTCAGGTTCTGACAGGGTGGTGGCGGCCTGCCCTGTATTTCCAAAGAGACATGCTCATTAGTCTCTCATCTTTCCATGCTGTTTATAACTGGGTCTCATATGGCTATCGTAATGATCATAACACGGATTTTTAAAAAATATATATTTTTATTGATTTCAGAGAGGAAGGGAGAGGGAGAAAGAGATAGAAACATCAATGATGAGAGAGCATGATTGATCGGCTGCCTCCTGCATGCCCCACACTAGGGATCTTGCTTGCAACCCAGGTATATGCCCTGACCAGGAATTGAACCGAGACTTCCTGGGTTCATGGGTCGATGCTCAACCCCTGAGCCATGCTGGCCAGGCAAAGCAAAAATCTTGTTAATCAAATAGTTGTATAAAAATATTGAAAATCTCTAAATTTAAAGTGACAGTTCGGAAAAATCTTGAAAAGGAAGACCAGCACTGTGATAGGCTTTTGTCTTTCAACATGATACTTAGCCTTTACGAGTTTATTCTACACTTGGTCCAAAGGTGAACATGTTGATTAAATGCTCTAATAAAGTATAATAATTACCTTTGAATCTTAGTGTTAAAACAAACCAGCTCTTTGTCTGCTACTATGAAATACTATAATAGCATAACCAAGGATGTTTTGTCCTTTTCTAAAGCTTGTTTATAAGATGAGTCTCCTGAGGATTTTAATATTACTTCAAGCATCTGCCCTTCCTCTTTCCTCCATGGAGAAACACAGAAGAAGAGATCAGTCATATTCCTCACCATTTAGGGTGTCAAATTGCTATTCTTTATTTTTTGAAATGGAGGAGAAAATTTTCATCCTTGCTGCATCAAATCTTATTTTATTTATATAAATAATGCATAAAATTATTTATAAAAATCCAAACAAAATTACAAATTATAGATGTAAAAACTAAACTTTTATGTTCCTTAACCCATACCTAATCCCATTCCTTCTCATAAATGTAACCATTTGGTGTATATCTTCTCAGACCACTTTGTGTACAAATACATATATATATATATATTTTGCTTTGTATAAAACAGGATTAGACATTGCTTCTTTGCCTTTTGGCTAAGATCAAGTTTAGAAATAGGATTAGACTATGTATTATTTTGAAACTTGCTTTTTTCAGTTCTAGGTCTAATTACAGAGGAAAAAACTGTTTTTGCAACCTTCCCTCTAAATGGCTTCTTAGGTTAAATTTACTTATAATTATGTCACCACTGGTTAGCCAAACTTCTGTTGGTTTCTCCTAGCAAACTTTGTGGTAATTCATGTACAAAGTGCCTTATAATATTAAAAGTAGCTATATTCATTACATAGGACACAAAACTTTTAGTTGAAAATTTTGACATACATCTGAATAGTAAGCAAGTTGGCTTATTTCAGCATACATGGTATATTTCCAGGTATAAAAGGAATGCAAAAGAATGAGAAAAAAGTTCTTGCCTTGGTACTTTGTAAGTTGACTACATGTGAATGCACACTCTCACACAAGCACCCTAAGCCAGCACGTGCTCCATAAACACACATCCTCACACAAACACATACAGAGTCATCCAGGCCATTAATTCATATAATTAAAGTGGCATATTGATTTTTGGCTTTTCAAAGGTCTTTCCCCTGTGTTTCTGTTGCAGTTTGCTATTAAGATTGATCAAGCTGAAGAGTTCCTCCAGAACACCCAGGAGTTCGAGACTGCCGAGTCCTTAAGGTCACTTCTTCAGCTTCATGAACATCACACCAAAGGCAAGATTTATGTTTGTTCCTCACATGAGCTTTTAAAATAGAGATGTTAATGTGAGAAGGCTCATGTAGGACATATTTTTATTGATTTCAGAAAGGAAAGGAGAGGGAGAGAGAGATAGAAACATCAATGATGAAAGAGAATCATTGATTGGCTGCCTCCTGCACGGCCCCTGTAGGGGATCGAGCCTGCAACCTAGGCATGTGCCCTGACTGGGAATGGAATCATGACTTCCTGGTTCATAGGTCGATGCTCAATCACTGAGCCACACTGGCTAGACAGGACAATATATTTTTAATTTATCTGTTTATGTATACTTCAGCTCATTCCAAGAAAGGAAACTGAAAGCTCTTTTCTTGGTCATCTTCTGCAAGAAAGAAGTAGTTGTAAATGGTTCTAAGGAGATGGTAGAGGGCTAGCCTCTGAAGGACCCTGCTAACTCTGGGAGTTCTCAGTCCTCAGGATGTGGTTCCTGAGGACAGGGGCCATTTTTACTGGGTTCATCTGTGTATCCTCAGCTTCTGGCAAGGTGATGGTACCTGGTGGATCCTCAAGAAATATTTCTTGGTCAAATACATGGTTGAATTCAGTGCATGTTTCTTCTCAGGGACAGTAAATTGAGGTCAACTTTAAATAACAGCTCTGAATAAGGAAAATCCCTCTTTCACTGTTGCAATAAAAACAGGGAAAAAAGAGAAGTGAAAATTTCCCAGATTAAAACAATTTAATAAAACAGACTTTCAATTCCCTCTGAACAACTATAGTCTAATGGTTAACCAACAATTTGTGTGCTAGCCCTTTTCTACCAGAATTTGGGGTGGACAGAATTATAGTATGGAAGCCATTTGTGGAACAGTAGCTGTTTACTGGAATCTTTCTGTAGAAGCAGGTTAGATAGGAGCAACATTTCTTTCCTTCCTAATGCGTTTTTCTAATTATTGCTGCCAAATAGAACGGGGTGCGAGTGGATGGTTTCCTGAACTCATTTGTCACAATTCTAACTCAGCTTCTAGCTTGACCAGCTTGATCATGCTGGACAGGGACAAAAGGTATTTTTAAAGCCACAAATAGATTTTTTGTTTCTATCACCCGCCAAAGGGACTCTAGATACTAGATCATTACTTTTCTAAAACTCAAAAATTAAACAACTCAGTCTTTCCTGTGTAAATTTTGATGAGATGCTACCACACATAGACATGTAATTTTAACTGATTATTGTTCATTAGGACCTATCACTAGTAGGGATTATAAACAGCATCAAAAAGAACATCCTTAAAGCAGCGGCCTGCTCACTTTTGTTGTACAGGAACAGCAATCTCACTGGGTCCAAAGGGGGCCAACAGAATCACAAACAATTCCTCTTAGGATACTGGAAAGTGAGTCTGAGTCCAGGTCACTGAGATTCAGTCTGTGGTCTCCATTCAGTCTTCATGCGACCAACATGTTCATCACATAGCAATCTTACCTCTGGAAACCGGACAGTGATGGATGCTTTTGTGAGGAGGTTCAGTACTGAGGCAATCCAGAGGGGTGGTGGAAGTGGGATTTTCCAAAAATACGCTGGGTTGGAGCTGGAAGGGGAGAGTAGCCTTAATGCTGTTTTGTTGTTGTTGTTGGCTCCTTCAGAGGCACCTGGGTCTGTGGCACAGGGAGCTTGGCGTGCAGGCCTTGGACTGCAGTGCCCTGGCATCCGGCTGACAGCGGGACCATGTCCTGCCTTTCGCTGATACAGTCTGCAGGTGTCCACCGGCCTCCTCTTAACCTGAGGAGATGGATGAAAATGCATGTTGAGGACAGGGAACGTAGTTTATTTTTGTGATGAAAAAATATTCTGCCACCCTGATGACATGTTTCTCGTGGCATTTTTGTGTTCCTCTATGTGATACTTGAAGCATAAGGATTACAGGGGACTCTGACCAGGCTCCCAATTCATATGCTCAATGGTGGCTTCATATCATGGGGGTAGATGAGATTTACCAAACAGCTAATTCAGTGGAATATGATTAAGATTAGGTTATTTAAAATGCATATTCAAGGACAAAATTCTGATTTTAAGTTAAGGACTTCATATCTAACTTAGTCTGTTCAGACTGTTATAACAAAATACCACAGACTAGGTGGCTTGCAAATGATGCACCCTTTAGTAATCCAACTGCCTTCTTAAAATAAACATAATTTTGAAGAAGCTTCCTCAAAGGAACAATCATATTACTTTCTTATTCTGAGATGTTTTATATATCTTAAATTTTTTCAGGTATAGGTTCATTATACTATCCTCTCTACTTTTGTATATATTTGAAAATGCCCATTGGATGAGTTTAAGAAACACAACTTCACGGAGAAATATTTGGAATATTTAAAAAGGTATTATGAAGAAACATCACCCATGACTTCAATGCTAAGACTGTGATTTGATATGTTTTAGAAAATATTCATTTGGAAATATGAGTATAAAGCTATAAATTCACTTAACTTGTGTATGTTCCCCATTTATCTATCTTGAATTTGCTATTTATACTTAATACATATGGCAAATATACTTTAATGTTACTTTTTTTTAGTATGACAAAACAAACAATTGAAACTTATTAAGTATCTAAGAGGCTCACATTACAAGGTATTATGTCAGAAAATAAGGTTTTGTAAATGCAAAAAAAGATACAATCTTTAAAATAAATTCACTATAGAGATTTTGTATTTCCTGAAGGTCATGGTATATCTAGATAGTGTAGCCTGAGAAAAAATGCAGCACTTTGTATGATCAACTGAAGGAATAAATAGCCAGAAAAACAAACAGTATAAAAGTAGAATGTCAGAAACTGACAGAAAAAGAATTGAAGGAACTGACAGAGGGAACAATTTACCCACTTTAATGATCATCTTGGTAGCAGTAACAGACCGATTTTAGCCTGGGTACATTTTACAAGTTAATTTGGGCCCAGGAGGCTTCATTCCCAGTGATACTGTGGTAGTGGTTATACTATTTTGACAGGAGCTGAAACAGAAACCAGAAAAAGATTGCAAATGGAAATTTTGGCTAATTATATTTATTTTGTAGGGACCAGAGCAGGTTGGCTTATTCCACTCTCAGTATGCAAGCACCTACTTTCCTTTCTCATTTGAAAAGTCTAGTGTGTAAGAACTAGGTATGGAAAGAAAGAAAAGAAATACCCTATGGAAACCCTGCCACCTGCCCATGCTTTGTGTGTGTGTGTGTGTGTGTGTGTGTGTGTGTGTGTGTAATATATATTGCATTATAATTAATCATACTGGTCATTATGTTCAGGTTAAACAAATTAAAACCCTTCCGTTCGCCGGAACCGGTTTGGCTCGGTGGATTGAGCGTCGGCCTGCGGACTGAAAGGTCCCAGGTTCGATTCCGGTCAAGGGCATGTACCTGGGTTGCGGGCACATCCCCAGTGGGAGATGTGCAGGAGGCAGCTGATCGATGTTTCTCTCTCATCGATGTTTCTAACTCTATATCTCTCTCCCTTCCTCTCTGTAAAAAATCAATAAAATATATTAAAAAAAAAACCCTTCCGTTCAATGGGCACAGCCTCTGTAACCTGTCTTCACTTTGTTTCTGCAGTTGTTTCTTTTCCTTCCACAGAAGAACCTGTTCTGGCAGACTAGGGGCCTGGTGCAAAAATTTGTGCACCTTGAAAGGAACTGTGGGCCATGAGGCTGTGGTGGGCACAGGGGTGGGTCTCGGCCCATCCTCTGCGCCCCCACCCAGCTCCTCCTGCTGCGGCCCCCCCTCCCCGTCCCCTCTCGCTTGCAGCACTGATGGTGCAGAGCGATTGGGAACAGCGTAGAGTGATTGGGGCCCGGTGCCAGCAGAGGGTGCAAATATCAGCAGGTGCAAGCAGCGGCTGCTGCCCTGATCGCCCTTCAGGAGCAGGGGGAGGTAGAGAAGCCCTCAGGGGCAATCAGAGCCAGCAGCCACTGCTCGAAACCACTGACGGCGCCGAGCAATCAGTACCAGCACCAGGTGCCGGCAGAAGGTGCAAGCAGTGGCTCTGGTGCCGGCAGTGGGTGTGAGCAGGGCCAGCGCCAGCAGCAGGTGCAAGTGCCAGGTGGGACCATGGTGCGCTGGAGCAAAGAATATTCAGTAACCACCAGAGGCTCGCCTCGATGACAGCGACCAGCACCCCACCTTGGTCTGGTGCCCCTGCTCACCTGCTCCACCATCCTGCCATGGCCAACGCCTGCCATGTTCTGTGCGTGCCCCCAGTGGTCAGCTCATATCATAGCGACTGGTTGTTCGGTTTTTTGGTTGTTTGGTTGTTCCACCGTTCAGTCTATTTGCATATTAGGCATTTTATGTCTACACATTTGAATTCCTTATTTTAGTATAAAGGTTATATATATTTTAAATTATATGAAGAGTCAAAAATATTACTATCAAAAGCTTGCTCATATCATTGTTCTGTTTTCTTTCTAACTTTCTTCTAGAACTCTTAGAACGATCTCTAGCACTTTTAAACAAAAGTCAACAGCTCACTGACTTCATAGAAAAATTCAAGTGTGATGGACCTAACGTAAATCCTGAGCTGATTCAGGGAGCTCGTAGTAGCTGCCTGAAGATCGACAGTCTTCTTGAACTTCTACAAGACAGGAGACGGCAACTAGACAAGTACCTGAAGCAACAGCGGCAGGAATTGAGTCAGGTTCTGCAGATATGTCAGTGGGACCAACAAGAAAATCAGGTAATCCAAAGGGGCACTGATGATGTCTTCCCTCTGCTAATGAAGTTGGTTGTTATGTGGACTGGCTATTCCTGGGACAGTTTCTCAGTTGTCATGGTTAAATTATTTGATCTTTGGTCCAAACTATATGTTGTTGTTTTTTCCATGCAGGTAATATAACAACAAATGTCTTTATTTCCTCTCATTAAAATATTGATTTCATAAATGGGAGAGTACCACTGGGCAGTTTTGAAATGACTGTTGTTGGATTCTCTTTCTCACTTCCTTCCAGGTCACTACTTTTAGATACATTTTTTTGAAATTCTGAAATGTTAACTGTAATTTTCTTCAAAGTTAGAGGGGCATGATAGTGTTAAATTGTTCTAGATTGCTATTAATGTCAGTGAAAAAGTCTATCAGTGCAAAATGGAAATATTGTTCTTAGAAGAATGGTTTGGTACCAATTAAGAAATATGACCTTCATCTGTGGCTGGATGCTCAGTGGTTAGAGGGCTTTGGGGATGGAGGATGATGAGTTTGCAGGCTTATTAGAACACATTGCCCAGACTTTAGGCACAGCGTACACCCTGTCTCTACACATGCACAATCTCCCCCATTATCAACATTCTGCACTAGAGTGGTACATTTGCTATAATCGATGAACCTACACTGACACATTGTCACCCAAAGCCCACAGTTCACATTAGGGTCCACTCTTGGTGGGCAAAAGTAGGTTTATAGTTGTGAGTATGTGAAACACAGTGTTTATTCTTGTAGTATTATTTATTAATTATTATATTAGTTTCCATACAAACAATTATAATCCTACTTTTGCTCATCTCTGTACATTCTGTGGATTTGAAAAAGTGTGTAATGACATATATCTACCATTGTAGTATGCAAAATAATTTCACTGCCCTAAGAATCCTCTGTGCTCTGCCTAGTCATCCCTCTCTCCCCCTAATCCTTGGCAACTACTGATCATTTTACTAACTCCATAGTTTTGTGTTTTCCAGAATCTCATATAATTGAAATAATCTAATGTGTAGCATTTTCAGATTGGGTTGTTCCACTGTTTGGTCGATTTGCATATTAGGGTTTTATTATATAGGATGAGCACTGTCATAGGAACATACACACATTCATTAAAGAAATGGATAAATAAGCAAGCAAACACTAATGGAATTAACCTAAGCATACTGTATTATTACCTATTTTTATTAAATTGAAAAAATCATAGACACATTCTTGTGTCAAAAGTACAATAGGTAATTTTAATGGATATAATATTTCACTGCTTGAATTAGCACAATTTAAAGAATATCTTATTGGTGAGGAAGTAGAGTCTCTTTAGTTTCTTAATATTGTAAACAAGTATTAATGCTTACTGTGTTATAATTATGTGAACAAAGAAATAATTTAAAATCCAGGTAGATACAAGCATAATTATCTTACCTAATTTTTAGTTTTTCTGAATGCTCTATTCTGAAGTTTAATTGATGATGCAATGGTGAAGAATAGCAGCAGGTTCACCAAATTGGGTGTGACTCCGTTAGAAATTTGGGTTCTATGATAATCATGTTCCTGGATGATCTACCTGATAGAACATTGTGGAACCTGAGTTGATATGAAGACACATACTTCATTGAAGGGCAAATATTTTTTGTTGGTTCTGTACTTATTTTAAGGGAATATAGGAGCTGTCAAACTTTGCATGAATAAAGTACTCATTTTGTCAATCATTTTAACCACTTAAGAAAAAGGGAAAGTAAGTAGAAAATTAGAGCAAAGATGACTGATGAGTAATAATGTGGTTGTCTGAATGTCTGATGTATTGCCTCTCATAAGGGCCATTTAAAAGACGCATTTAGTGCTGCTCTGTGTCTAAGTTATTATGGCCTAATGCTTTTGAACTATAATAGTTTAGCTAATTTAACTTTGGGAGAAAATTGAATGACCAGAACAATGACAATTTAAGATTTATATAAATCAAAGGAAAAAACAAACAAACAAATGAAAACCACATATTTTTCTATCTTAATTGAAATATGATAGTCTGATAAATATGATCACAGAATGTTCTTTCTGTATCATTGTTTTTCAGATGTAAAAATGTGCACTTGTTTTACTTTGAAAGATGAGCAGCTGACCATTTTTTTCCCAATTCCAGCAGCATCTTATTTTGCACATAATCTGCTGTTTCATTAATGAAAATCAGAAGCAGCTTGGAGTATTTTGTGCATAATTAATTATCTTGGCAAGAAGATTTATGAATGTAATTTTTTTCAATTGCTCCAATCAGGCATAAGTGAGACAAACAGATAAATTAAAAATAAGGTATTCATAGTCTCTTTGTATAAGACAATGTCAAGGACATTGAAGAATAGCAAGTAAGACATGAGGGCAGATCATCTGTTTTTACCCTCAGATCACATATACTTATAAGATACACATCTTTGTAGAGGAAAGAGGGAAATAGAATTAACATTTACAAGGTTTTATACCACATATATAATAATTATGTAACCATACGTAATCATGTTCATTTTTTTTAAAAAATATTTTTATTGATTTGAGAGAGAGAGAGAGAAACATCAATGATGAGAGAGAATCATTGATCGGCTGCCTCCTGCACACCCCCCACCGGTGATCGAGCCCACAACCTAGGCATGTGCCCTTGACCGGAATTGAACCCAGGACCCTTCAGTCCCCAGGCCAACGCTCTATCCACTGAGCCAAAACCAGCCAGGGCCATATTTGTTTTTACTAGACAATTAAAATGGTATCAGGCTCAGGGCACCAGTCTGGTACCTGGTGGGCTGCTATAAAACTTTGCACACATACACACACACTTTATATGATACTACATTCTAACTAGGAGTTAGAGCTTGGATGATTGACCAGCTTCAATTGATATGAAATAATATAAAAGTGCCTAATGTAGTGACTAGCACATAGTAAGAGTTTAAAACAAAATCTTTCTTTGAATGTAGCTTTCTAATATTGGCTGGCATATCAAATAATGAATTATCCTGGTGATACTGGTATTCAATAGTTCAGCCCAATAACATACACGACTTTCAAACCCTTATAGGTGAAAATTTATCACAAAATTTTATTTTAGCACCTAAACTGTCTCTAGAATTCACTCTAAGGCACATTAGAGTAAATGCAAAGTATCTTGAGGTGTTTGTAGGAGAAACATCGTGATTTTGAAAACAATAGAAACACCTCCTAAGTCAAATGCATGCTAACCACCATTTATTTCAATGACACTACATATCATAGGTCCTAAAGGAGGTAGTCTGGTGCAGATGGCATGGCTAGCAATCCCAGCTTTTACATTACTGGCTATGTGATTTGGGCAAGTTAGTTGGCCTCTGTGCCTCATGTTCCTTTTCTGTAAACTGGAAATAATAATAATAGCTAGCTATAGATTTGTTGTGAATATAAACAACATTATATATGTAAAACTGCTTAAAGCACATCTTAGCATACAGCAAGCACTCAGTAAGTGTTCAAATGTTCACCATCTCACTCCATGTCGGTGGTCTCTCTCTGAGCTTTACCAGATAATCACCAGCACATAAAACCCTACATATTCACTGGATCCCACACCAATTCTCTAAATTACTAGATAATCTTTCTAAAATGTTATAATGTGAATGGTAAATAAGTGCCATTTCATGGCTTGGTATCCAGCTGAGTTTATTCAGAAAAGGTCAACTTTATCTGTATGATAAGTTAAAAATTTATTTTCCTCTCCCTAACTTTCTCCGCTCTTTAGCTATTTCTTTACCTAATTTATTCTTATTATAGTTGATTACATTTTCCTTAAGCTTAGTTTATCACTTCTATATACAGTATTGTTCAATTGGATTGATGGCTTAATAGCACTTTAATTAGGCACAATTATTTAAGCCCCCACATCAGTTGGTAAGAGGGCTGGGCGATACACACCATAACTAGATTACATTCTCAGCAGTGATAGGACTGATAACAAAGCTGTGTGCTCTCCGGGAAAAGCTCTGCCTTACTTTGACCTCACATCCTTCCACTGTATGACAGTCAGTTGCTGCTACTCCAGCTGTCTGCTCCGCCCTGGGGCTGCCTGTGTATCTTCTTCCACACCCTGAGCTCCTTTCCTTTCCTGCCCCTGCTGCTGGAGGTTGTTGGCTTTTATTTTTTCTTCAATACTGCTACCATCGCAAACTGGCCGGGGAGGGGGACTCATTCCTTCCTCTACCCCCATCCTTCAGTCCCCAAAGACAAGCAAAGGGGCCCTATTAATTTTAATGCTTTTTGTAGGGAGACTCATAAGCAAATACAATAAATGGCACACTCTGGAAGGATTAAACCATCCTTTATAATTCAGCAGTTATTTATCCTATCAATACGATAGTTTCTAACTCTCATTTTCCCCCAACAACCAGGGTTTAGGTCAAAGCTTCAGTATGCAATGTATTAGGCTACATAAACAAGGAATTGGGGAGGTTATATGCAAATGTCAAGCTTTGGTCCTACTTCTAAGTAGCCCTGTAAGTTAGTCTCTCTCTCTTCTCTCTCTCCCTCTGAATACAAATGGCTGCCCATCACCCAAGGCACATCCCAAAGTTATACTGGGAAAACCATGCCTTACATATCTTTGGCAGAGATGCATGTGGCCACTAGACTGGTCTGTTTCTTTTCTTGAAAAAAAAAGAAGACTTTTTCCCCACTGCTGGGAGGATTCCCAGCAATGAGTCAAAGGTAATGCTAGGGATAAAATTTAGGTCCAGAGATGTCCACTGTACTGATTTTATTCATGGGACTAAACAGCTTTCCACCATCGAGTAGTTGGAAGTAAAGAGCCTACCTAAACACAAACAAGAGTTGAAAGCAATCTTGGGAAGGGAAGTCCTTAGTGCCAAGTTTCTTATAATATAAATGTTGGAAGAGAAATGATATGTAACACAAGTCAGAATAATTAAACACATGAAATTATGATTCCAGACAGGGAGATAGATGATCTGTAAAGCTGT